TCTCTTGCTGTGTCTCTCTCTGTCAAATAAATAAATAAAATCTTTTAAAAAAATAAAATAAAATAGAGAAGAAACTTTACAAATCAATAAGAAAAAAAGTGGCAAATGGAAGAGAACTATGAGCAAAGGACATGAACAGGCGGTCAAAAGAAGGGGAAACCCAGTCAAAAGGCATACGAAGAGATGCTCAAACATACTAATTATCAGACAGATGCAAATCAAAACAATAATGAGCTATCATATTTATATGATTGACAAAAAATTAGAAAGCTGAATAACGGAAAAGTTGGCAGGAATGAAGAAATCCTCGTGTAGGGCTGATGGGACTGTGGATGGGCCACTCCAGAGAACTACTCCCTCAAACTAAGTATACTCACACCCTTTGACAGCCAACAATTCTCCTCATGGGTATATCCCAAAGAAATTCTCACACAGGGAGATATGCGAGTTGTACAAAGATGTTCACCGTGGTGCTGTTAGTGCTCATGAGGAGCTGGAGGCACAAGGAGATAGAGTGTGTAGCTCTGTAAAAACAGATACAGGGTCATACACCACAGAGAGTGCAGTGGACAGAAGCCACAGTCTAGAAGCAGACAGAGGAATAGGGATGGCTCCCAACGCAATGCTGAGGGAGCAAAGAAAGAGAACAAGACATACCATCATGGTAAATAAAAGATACAATGTTGCTCAAAAATACAATTTAGTGTACACATTAGAATAGTGGTCTATACAGAAGGAAAGAAATAGGAGCTGGGAAAAGAATTCAAAGCGAAGAAATAAAGAAATGAATGAATCAATGAATCAATGAAGGGAGGGGCTGCTGATGATCCCATGCCACAAATTAGGATGTGTATGATTCATTCAAGCCCTCTACACGTGAGACCCAACACAGGCTAGAGAAGTCAGGAAAAAGGCTCTGCAAAGAAATGTGTGTTTGTTTCTCTGCTGCCATCCTCTCCTTGACAACTGGGCCGTTTGGAAAATGCCAGCAGCTGATGCACATTATTTACGGTGCGGTCTGATACCCCACAGGCACCGTATGCCCTGAGAGGAACTTCAAAATCAAAGCAACAAATTCAGAAGTTTCCCCAAAGGAATTCCCTTTTCCTACCTGCCCCTTCAGAACACTCTGGCTCTGGGATAAAATAGTGGCATTCAAATGCCCATGACAACATTTTCTAGAAAGGAAAAGGCTAGACATTTAGAATTTGAATATTCAAGGCAAAAGAGCAATGCCAAACTCTGAAATTCCTGTCAGACTGACATCCCTCAAAAACAGTTCCGACGGTGGCATAAGCAGAGGGTCGCAGAACAATCAGACCCCGGACAACAGTTCCGCCTGTGGTGGCAGATGAGCCCCACGGCGGGTGCGGAGGGAAAATGAAAACTACTTCAATCCACAGACATGGAAAGTCCAACCACGTCAGAAGTGAAAGGGAACTAAGGCATTATACGATGTGAAAATGGGGTCTCGATGCCAGAGGAGGTGAGAGACGATCAATCCAGAACCCTACTCTGGTTTTGCCAGCTTGGAAACAGAAGATTTCTTGGAATAATACTTTAAAAAATTGTTTCTATCCAAAGCACTCCTGGAAAAATGGCCAATATGTTTTAACCCGTCATTTTTCTCTCTGGCTTGTTAAATGAAAGGGTAAGCAATTGAAAAATCATTTGACACTCCAGGCAGCCAACTCTCTGTGCTCTGTGAATAATGGGATGCCCAAAGCAAACTGTTGCAAGGGTCTGTGTTCTCCAAAATGGAACTTTTTGTATTGCTCTTTTCTTTGGGAGGTAGAATACCCTTGTGGTTAACAAGAGCCTCTAGAGTTAGACAGAATTCAGATTACATTATGCTGCCTGAGTTTACTAACCCAATTTCCTAATATACAAAGTAGATCAAAAGTACCTATCTCACACAGTGTTTCAAGTATTAACTAAGCTCATATGCATAAAACATCCTTAAACATAGTAAGTGGTGGATAATTGCTATCTATTAACAGCTAAGATTTTTAAATACATACTCACTGCCTGAGGGTTCTAGAGGGGAGGAGGGTGGGGGGATGGGTTAGCTTGGTGATGGGTATTAAAGAGGGCACATTCTGCATGGAGCCCTGGGTGTTATACGCAAACAATGAATCATGGAACACTGCATCAAAAACTAATGATGTAATGTATGGTGATTAACATAACATAATAAAATTAAATTAAAAAACTATATACTCATTGCAGACAATGCAAAGCCTGGAGAAGTATTTAAAATAGAGAAGGTCAGTCCCTCCCAATACTCTACACTCTATCCACATTACAATTTTATGATCAAGGTCTTTCCAGACTTTTTTCTATCAATATATCTAGAGAAGTCAAATATTTTACTAAGAACATTGCTCTGTAAGCTGATTTTTTTTTAAACCTCAATTAACAATATACTGTGTGGGGCGCCTGGGTGTCTCAGTCAAGTGTCTGCCTTCAGCTCAGGTCACGATCCTAGTGTCCTGGGATTAAGCCCCACATCAGGCTCCCTGCTAAGTGGGGAGCGTGCTTCTCCCTCCGCCTGCTTGTGCTCTCTCTCTCTGTCAAGTTAAAAACAACAACAAAACCCCCCAAACAACAACAAGAACAAAACAATATACTGAGGGCACCATTCCCACAAATATACCTAGATCACTCTTGTTCTTTTTAAAGACTACACAGTATCTTGATATTTTTAAAGATTTTATTTATTTATTTATTTGAGAGGGAAAGAAAGAGACAGAGAAAGAGAAAGAGAGAACGTGAGCGGGGAGGAGCAGGAGAGGGAGAATCTCAAGAGGACTCTGCACTAAGCGCGGAGACCAACACAGGGCTTGATCCCAGGACCCTGAGATCATGACCTGAACCTAAACCAAGAGGCACCCCATATCTTGATATTTTTAATCAACTTCCTATTGCACATCTAATTGTCTTCCCTTGTTATTATTACCAATGCTCCAGTGCACTTCTTTGTTGCACAAACATTTTTGTACTCTGGTCTATTTCTTTAGGACAAATCACTGGTTCAAAGGATATTGGCTTCCAATACATATTCCTCAAAGGCACTACAGAATGGTATAACCAGATGGCATGCCCACCCAGAGAATCAGGGTCATCTTCAAATCTACTGGCACTTATCTCAGGCAGAGAGGAGAAGGTTTATCACAAGTCACAGCAAACTTCTCGTTGGTAGTCACTCATATGCATCTCATTCCCCAGAGTTCTCAGGTCGCTCATTATAGAACAGTGTGTCCCAGGTTGGGGCATGGCATGGGCATGTTTTTTAAGTCTGCTTGGCCATCTGTCCTCTCTTGTTCTGGTGGGTTCCCCAATTTCCCACTGGAAAACTACCCTGCTCCCATTTTATGCAATACTCTTAAAACTGTCAGTAACAGTATGTTGTTTTCCCCTTCGTCAGCCTAAGCTAGACCAACCTGTTGTTATCTTCCTGGGAATCTGAATCTTCAGAAGAGTGAGGCAGATACTAAAAAACAGTTCAGAGCTTCATCATCCTGCAGATATTATTCAGAAGACCCTTTCTTATTGGTTCCTGGGGCTCCAGAGCTGGTGTGTTTTCAAGCCTGTCTCTTCAGCTCTTCCTACCTTACTGCGAGTTACTCAATAGCCTTCCATATTCCTTCATTTTTATTACTGTGGTTTTTGCTATTGTTATTTTAGAATAAGTTAGCCAGAATTGATTTCAGATACACTAAAACAATCCCACCTGGGGATACGGCGGGGGGGGGGGGGAAGCACTTGTTTCCTTGAATGTTTACTTGAAAAAATTTTCCCTTATTCAATTCTTGAAGGAAAAAGAAAAAAGAAAAAACTTTTTCCCTCTTCTAAAGTCCTCTTAACCTACCAGTAGCAACCATTCCAAATTACTTAATATTTTTTATAAAACTTCTGGTCAAAATCTGTATTTTGGAAAGAATGAAAGGAAAATCTCTGTCCTTTAATGGATTTAACACACACAAAAATACCTCATCCTTTTGTCCACATGGAGAAACACTGCTTTACTGGTTTTTTTGACATCACTGGAATTCATGGGAGGGCTCTTTGAATGTTTCTCCAAGTGGATTTTACAAAGCAAGTTCGAAGCAAGGGGACAGGATTTCCTTTGCACTCTTGTAAGCAACCTGGAAGGAATTGGTTTGTACTCCTATGCACCAAGGACATCATCAGCCCTAACATTAGCAGTAGCTTTTCATTTTAATCCCATCATCTTTACAAGGTTACAGGTGTCCTTGGAAATTATGATTAACCAAAGTGCTCAGAGCCAGCAGCAGGGGAAATATGCTGTATATTCTACAGACGCTGCCCAGGGTCATTCCCATCGAAGAGGAATATTATTACGGACTTCACCATCTCCACTCTTTCTTCTCCAAAAAGGTAACAAAGAACACAGTTACTAAGCAATCCCTAAAATAGTTGTCGCCTATCCAGTCCTTTGAACAAGACTGTGTAGGAGGCAATTCTGGCTTTCTCCTAGGACAAGGTTCTTAGGAAGCTGCATAGTACTCGACTGAGTGGCTTTTAAGTGGTTAGTGGAGCTACATTCTCAAGACCTAGGGTTAACTGAGATAATATACATGAAAATGCTTTGTCAAGTGTGAAGGGTTATATATCGCAAGGTGTCATTACAGCCTTGCCTGTCAGGCTCACTAAAATGTCCTGGAGTCACGGACATGGTAAGTCAGGATGAAAGCAATGGACTACACCAGGGAAATGGGGCAGACCCAACATGCCCACAGCACCCCCTGGTGGTTCTTCCCCAGAGTAGCAACTTTTAAAGCTCAATCCCAACCCCAGCTGTAGAAAATTATCCAAGGGACATACTTACTTCCTTCACTCTGACTGTCTTTGTTCGAATTGTAGACCTGGAAAATAGAAATAAACATTTACTTGTGTGAATTTTCTACCACCCTACAGGTTCAATGAATAAGATCATTACCTGCCCCCTTTCCCTAATTTATGCTATAAAATGGAAGGCAATTTCTGACCCCCAAACATGAATCCTCTCTAAAATTATCTACTTCCCAGTATTTACTTCAGGTATTCTCAAGTATGTATACATCAGAATCACCTATGGAACTTTACTATATAAAAGGTCATATTCTTTTAAAAAAAAAAAAACAACTTATGTGTATATTTAAATTAAAAAGAAGAAAAGTTTTAAATAGTTACAATCATTAAGCATTTACTGTGCACCAAGCAACGTGCTGAGCAATCCACATGAATGATCTCAAATTATCTACACAAAATTCTATTGAGTAGGAACCCATCACTGTATTACAGATGGAGAATTTGAGACTTAGAGAGGTTAACTAAGGTCTCACAGCTAGTAAATGGCAAAGTCAGGACAAAGATACATTATAAACTGCTAAGTGTTAACACTGGGGAGTGGAACCAATACATTATATGGTTTTGATATTTGAAAGTTGTAAGGAAAATTCGTTACTTTTACAATGTAAATCCCTTAAATTATTCACAGAAATCATAAAAGGGGAAGTGCTCCAATAGAGAAAAAGAGAAAATACCCCAATATAAAACACACAATGACATACTGCAAGAGTCGGCAAGCTTCTTTTGTGAAGAGCCAGACAGTAAATATTTTAGGCTTTGTGGGCCAAGAAACAAAATCAGTATTATGCAGATACTTGTTTAACAAGAGAGAAAATGAATTTCCACAAATTTTTGGTTGACAAAATTTAAAACATAGTGATTTTTTGAAATACAGGTATAATATTCCTCACAATAAAAATCCCTTTAGAGTTCCAAGGGTCTCTTTTCAGAGATGCTTGGCTCAGTTCCTCTAGAAGTTAAGTAAGTGGTTCTAACCAAGAATGGCCATCAGAATCCTGTGGAATCTCTCTTCCAAGGAGTATAATTTTTTGAAATGCAGATCCACCAATCAAAAGAATGGGGTTTTATTTGTTTGTTGGTTTTACATAAGGAGGGTAACATTTGGCTTAATTAGGGTTCCAAGTCAGTATTTCCTATCAAATCAATTGCAAATGTTCATCTATAAATGCTGAGTTATACAAAAACCAGGTGGTGTGCTGGATTTGGTCTATAGGTTAGTTTGCCAATCCCTAATATGGTGACATTAGTAAGTAAGATAAACCCCCTGTTATAAAGGGAAAAAAATCATAGTTTTCTAAATCTCTCTTTGGTGATTATTATTCTTTATATATGAAAATGCATAGGGTAAAGCTGGCCATCATAAGTATGTATGTATGAACATACATACATATGTATGTATGTATCTATCGATTTATCTACCTACCTACCTACCTACCTATCTATTCCAAGGGATTCTGATGGCTACTCTTGGCAGAGAACCACTTATTTAACCCCTAGAGGCAGTGAGCCAAGCATCTCTAAAAAGGAGTCATGAAACCCTAAAAGGGATTTCTACCTGCTAGCAAGTGTGGGTTGGAATGGCTGGTCAACCCACCTAGCCCTTCAGTTGCCTTGTGTCATTGGGTAAGGCTCTCACCTTGTCTGGGCCTCTACTGCCTCATCTGTAAATTGAAGGAGTTGGCCAAGAGGGTTTTGAATGATCAAACTCTAAGTAAGACAAATCACTACTCCATTTTATTATTATTGATTTCCTAAAGAACCACTATTTGAAAGTCAGGAGGATGAGGATTAAAGAAAAGCGTTTCTGTACTTGAGGCAAAGGCATCAGTTTTTATGCTTAAAAGTTCTAGAGATGAGGGGTCAAAAGACTGTGATCCTGGCACAGCCTTTTGGAAGGAGGAAGACCAGTGCAACCAGCAATCAGTGCATAGTAGAGAAGGGAGGAAGATGAAGATGGGGCAGAGGGGCAGCAACACAATCCTGCACGATGTTGTGACCTGTGAGTGAAACAGGTAGCCTCATAATAGCTAGGACCAGCAACCCATGAATGGTGTTCACTAACCTTGGAAACTGGGTAAGCCAAGTGCAAGGGAAGAGACCCTACTTTGTCAAGAATTTTTTTTTTCAGCATCCCTGACCAATTCATTCTATTAAATTTAAACATTCTGAGAGAAACTTGCTCCTGTTTATAAATGACAAAATCCAGAAAGAAGAACGAAATGCAAGACTTTTAACTCTCCTTTATTAGGAGGAGAATTTGCACCAAAGTACTTTCTTTCAAGGTTTCCTGGGTTTCAGGAAGCGCTTGCCCGCAACACCCAAGCATTCCCCAAATCGGAGAGGCATGATCAATGAGCCAAAGGTGCCAGAAGCATGTGTTGCCCAATCCTTTGAGGCCAGGCCATTCATCTCTGCTAGTTTGGTAAATGAGCCAAAGAGAATGAGTTTTGAAATAAAGCTAACAAACCATGCCCGCCAGAACTGTGTGACTACATGGCCCAATAAGGAAGGCCCAGGGTGGGGAAGCAGCCTCACCACCACACAGGCCAGATGGCAGCACGGTAATAGCACTAAGTGGGAATGGCTTTGTTTAACTTACCAAGTACTGCACACATCACTGAATCCTTTTAACCACCTTATGGCATAAGTACTAGCACTGTTCCCATTTTGCAGATGTGAAACCTGAGGCCCAGAGAGGTTACACAGTTTGTCCAAGGACAGAGAGCCAGTGAGAAGCTTCCTATTCTATCTTGCCTCCACAGGGAGGTTACAATACTCTTTAACTTTTCCAAGCAGTAGCAAATGCGCATTACTACCAAGCAAAACCAGTAGTCTATAGGTTCATAAATACCTCCTCCCATACTGGCAGAAGCCAAGGGCATGCAATTCACCCTTGAAAAATGGTCAGTCTGTTCTGGGGAAATCTTTATTATTATTATTATTATTCAAATATAACTAACATACATTGTTATATTAGTTTCAGGGGAAATCTTCTTCTACAGATCTCATGGTGGCCCACTAGTGTAATACTGAAGCACAGAGGCGAGGCCAACTTCCTGAAATAAAAGGTGTCTTTGGCCATGGCTTCTATCTTATGACTGATTAGCCGAATTATCTCAGGTTTACAAGCTTTCAAGTAAGCTTCTCAAGAGCCTTTGTCTTGAAAGGATAGAACACAACTCTCCTGGATTAATTCAAGGGGACACGAGTCACTAAACAGTCCCTGAATTACGGCTCCTATGAAGACTAATTCAGTTAATACGCTTTCTTCCGTCACTTATCATCTCTAAACCTTAATCATGCCACCTGTAAAATGAGGATATTAACATTCCATACCTCTTAAGGGTATTGTGAAAATTAAATAAGATAATAGATATAAAACATTTAACACAAAGCAGAGAATACCAATTCCATGTCCCACTTAGAGTTCCATAAAGATAAAATTTCACCACCATCATTTTCATCCTCCTCGTTAAGTCTCTTCACACTTATCCCCTCTAGGATAAAAGGCTAAGGATGGGAATGTAGTTTGAGGGATCCAGTAACACTGGGCTCATTAGCATTTTAATTTAACCAACTGAAACTGATTAAGGGACTAAGGGCAAGGAAGAGAAAGAACCATCCAAAGTCAACTTACAGAGCAATGGGTTCTCAATTTTTTTTTAAAACAGCAGTCAAAAACAAAAGCAACCACCTACCACCAACCACTTGTTCAACCACTTTTTCACCAATCATGTGCCACGCACCATACTAAGCGCTGAGATGAATTATTTTATTTCATCCCGAAGCCTATAGGGCAGTAGACTGCCTCTACTTCACGGCACTATGCAGCTCAAATAACTTTCCAAAGCTTGCAAAACTAACAAGTGGCAGAGTGCTCTAGACTAGCTGTGCTCAGCCACAAGGGCATGCAATTTCCCCACTCAGTCCCACTTTCTAGGGGAGAAAAAAAAAAACACCTTGGCAATTAACAAAGAACTCAGAAGAAGCTAAGCAGTAATTAAAGTGGCAACAATGCAACCATTATGTAAGAACAAAATTTCCACCCAATTTAAACATAACAGTAATTCCACAAACTTCCAATTAATACAAACATAGCAGTAATTGAAAACCACAACCAGCTTGAGACACTTCAGGATGCCCAGAAAACATCCTTCCCTGAAACTCTGAGCACATATGCAGAGAACTAGCCAGCACTGCTAAGGACTGTGGGGCAGACAGATTTCCTAGTAGAGTACCACATTCGAATTCTTATCAAACTCTATTAACAGGCTAAATTTAGAAACTTTAAGTGACACTCCTGAGAGGTTACGAGTAAGACAACCTGGGTCTGTGGAATGCCACTCAATAGTGGACATGCATTTTTAGATCACGGAGGGACCCTCTTGTCACAGTGGGCCACAAGCTACACTTGGGAAAGCTTTGAGAAGAAACTGTTTGAATCTTAAGCATGGAGAGATAAAACCAGTTTGAATACATTGCAATAAAGAAGAATGTGTCTAGGGGCCAGAGCTCTGGAGCTAGGTATTGGCTCCTCCTCTTCCCATTAGGAGTGTGCCTCTCATCACAGCCTGATGCGCGGAGAAAACGGAAGTAAAATGGCTGCCACTGCTTTTCTGTTTCTTACCTAGCAACCCTCCCTTCTGCTCACCCTTTCCACTGCTACCGGTATCGCATTTGCTGACTTAGAGGGGCTCTCTTGAAAGTCAAGTCAATGAAAATGTATCTGATGGCTCTTTCCAATGACTTATTCTTGAACAAATGTGAAAACCTTGCTCTTGCACCCTCCAGAACTACTCGGAAAGAGGGCTCAGTGACTAGAATATAGCAGGCCACTCAATAAGTATTGACTGGATGAACAGTTTTTGAGTAGAAGAATAAAGGAGAAACTGATTTTTTTTTTCTTTTTAAATCCCCATGTTGGAGGTTTTTTTCTCCCCCTAAAGATTTTTTATTTATTTATTTGACACAGAGTGTTTGCAAGAGAGAGCAAAGTAGGCAGAGGCAGAGGGAG